TCTTTCTTTCTTTCTTTCTTTCTTTCTTTCTTTCTTTCTTTCCTTTCCTCTGAGAAAGTTGTAAGAAAATTTGGGGCAACAGAATGTTTACTGGTTTCTCCAGTAGTAAACTATGTAATGTTTAACGCACACTCAGGGTTTTCTGATTCTAGCCTTTCATTACCATAGAGATATTTAAATCTCTTTGAGTTCTGGTAATTAATAGCAATGCAAAATAATTAGTTTCTTCGCCATTTCCTTACCCTGTGCAGGCTATGACCAAATACCACAGACTGGGTGCATTATGAAGAAAAATCTATTTCTCATACTTCTGGAGGATCAGAGACCAAGATCAAGGCACATGTAGGTTAGGTGTCTGATGAGAACACACTTCCTAGTGAATGTCTTTTCTGTTTAAGCTCATATGTCAGAAGGGTTAAACTAGCTCTTTGGGGTCTCTTTTATGAGGGCACTAATCCATTCATGATGGCTCTGCCCTCATGACCTAGGCACATTCGAAGGGTCCATTTACTAATAAAATCACTTTGAGCATTACATTTTATCTATGGATTTATGGGGACACATTTAGTCCATACCCATATAGAAATACAATCTGTCTGTTGAGGTTCAATAGTCTTCCCAACTTCTTCTTAGAAGACAGCACTCTTGTCTCACTTTGACATTCATTTCAATATTCCTGAGCTATAAGTGTGTCTCTTCTTTGGTATTCTCCTTTCAACTAGCATTAACATCTGCTTATTTCCTTCATTAGTGATCAGTTAAATAAAATTCTTAACATGTATTCATTTAATATTTTTTAATAGTCATGATTTTACTTTTTTTAAAAAATTGTCTTTGCACAATATGTGGAATGGGGGTGGAGGGCGTTCAGCACACCCCTGCGGGCCTCTCACTGCCGTTGCCTCTCCCGTTGCGGAGCACAGGCTCCGGACGCGCAGGCTCAGCAGGCATGGCTCACGGGCCCAGCCGCTCCGCGGCATGTGGGATCTTCCCCGACCGGGGCACGAACCCGCGTCCCCTGCATTGGCAGGCGGACTCTCAACCACTGCGCCACCAGGGAAGCCCTAAATATTTTTTAAATCACAGTTTCTTGGTATAACTTTCCTCACTCATAGTGAATGATAGGAGGTGTCATCAATATCATATTAATAATTTCTTTAAATTGCCTTGCTTTAATCAGATGCCCATGTTTCAAAACTGTGCTGGATTGGATAGGGAAAATTAGAGCTCTTATTTACTTCCTCTGCAACTTCCTGTCACATGTTTTAACTTCCAACCAAACTGGTCCATAAAGTGAGGTAAATAGACATTAAGCTGCCATGGGGTAACTATTACCACAATGACTATGTTCTTGGTTGTCCACATTATGGAACATACATCCTGGCAGGCAGGCCACCTGGTGGGCTTGTCTCTGTCTCCTGCCTCTCCCACAAGGCAAGTCCTGTCCTGATTTGCTGCAGGTTATTGGAAGTGAGGGTCTTTCTGGAAGTCGTCTGTGCTCACTAATGTGTTGGCCTAAGTGATTCTTCCTGCAGAATGGAAAGGTGCTGGGCTCTGTATTCAGGTTTCAGGAAAATACAGACAGTCTATATTAGTTTCCCATTGCTCTGTAACAAATTACTACAAACTTAGTGGCTTAAGACAATATACATTCATTCTTTTATAGTTTTGGAGGTGAGCAGTCAAAATGAATCTTAAGGGGCTACAATTAAAGTGTCAGTAGGACCGGTTCCTTCTGGAGGCTCCAGGAGGTACTCCATTTTCTTGTCTTTTCCAGGCTCGAGACACTGCCTGGCATTCATTGGCTCATTGCCCTCCCTCCATCTTCACCACAACCTTTGTTCCTATTATCTCATCTTCTTTTCTGCATTTGGCCATGCCTCACTCTTACAGGGATGCCTGTGATTATATTTAACCCATGTGGACAAACCAAGATAATCTTTCCATCTGAAGATCATTAACTTAATCACAGCTGCAAAGTGCTTCTCGCTATGTAAGTAACATATTCACAGGTTCTGGGAATGTGGACATATTAGGGGCCATCTTTCTGTCTCTACATTGTCCTGACTCCTGGGACATATAAATCATCAGCTTAGAAAACAGGTAGTCTTTTCTGTAGCAATGGAAACAAAAGTCATCAGGAAAAATAAATGAACTGTAGTAACATGAGTAAGTGTGAGAGATGGGACCGATCTGTTGAGACCACTGTGTTTCCTCAGCTGAACCTGCCTGTTCTGCTGCTTCATTCACCTTACCTCCTTATTGCCTTCCTTTTCCACAGATCATCCAGGGTTAACTGGCATGGATTGGTTCACCTCCTATTTCCTGTCAGGAAAGAATTTTGAGCAACTGGCCCAAAAATGTGTCCCTCACTACTCCACATTGATCAGCAAGGCAGTGGGGATCCTCTCTCAGGAAAGTGTTGAACGTATTCAAAGAGTCTTTCAGGAGGGGAAGCTAAAAGAGGTGGTTGAAGAGATTCAGGAAGCACTTCAGAAATCTGAGAACGCTCCCTTGGATGTGGCTCTGATCGGGCAATCTGGTTCTGGGAAGTCCAGTTTCATCAATGCCCTGCTAGGTCTTGGTCATGAAGAGGAGGGGTCTGCTCACGTTGGAGTTGTGCCAACCACCATGAAGAAAACCCCCTATCAACATCCGAAATATCCCAGTGTGACCTTCTGGGACCTGCCTGGAACTGGGACTCCCAATTCCCTTCCAGATCCTTATCTAGAAATTGTGGGAGATGATGACTATGACTTTTTCATCATTATTTCTTCTTCACGGTTCAGCTCAAATGATGCTCTCCTGGCCCAGAAAATCAAGGAGAAGGGGAAGAATTTCTACTTTGTTAGAACAATGGTGGATGTTGAATTGCACAGTGAAGAGAAAAGCAAACCCATATCCTTCAAAAAGGAGAGAGTCCTTCAGCAGATCCGAGATGACTACCTGGCTATTCTCAGCAACATCGGAGTATCTAATCCATGTGTCTTCCTGGTCTCCAACTTTCACCCGGATAAGTTTGATTTCCCAAGACTGCAGGAGACATTGTTGCAGGATCTCCCTGCTCATAAGCGCTACACCTTTGTGCTCCAGTTGTCCAGTTTGTCTGATGCTTTCATTGAGGTGAAGAGAGTTATCCTCAAAGAGAAGATCTGGCTGAATGCCCTGAAATCAGCCGCTTTGGCCATCATCCCTTTCATGGCCTTCTTCAGTGGCTTTGATTTGCCTAAACAGGAGAAGTGCTTGAACCTTTATCGAAGCTATTTTGGTTTGGATGAGCAGTCAGTCAAAGAGATTGCCCAGAAACTGGGCACATCTGTGCAAGAGATCAAGAGCTCCACAAAGTCCTTGGATTTCTGGTTATTTGTGAAGAATGACAGTATAGCAGCAAAGGCCATGAAATGTGCTGAATCCTTTTGCTCAGTGAACGGAGGACTCCGATCTTCTATCTTTCAATTTTTGAAAGTATATTTTTTACGTTTGAAATTCATCAATACGGTGGTTGATGATGTTAAAATGCTGTTGCATAAGACTTTAGAGAGCTGAAGTCTAAGAGAATGAGGCAGAGATGGGTAGAGTTGCCTAACCGAATAACAAAAGGGCCTCAGGTCTTGTGTTCTCTGGGTGGGAGCAGGATCCTCTTCTACCCACCACCAAGGCCAACACTACCCTAAAGTAAAAAGATTGTCTCACTGTTGGAAAAAGACCATTGCTCCACATTGATGCTATACTGCTAAGTAAAGGGGATTTGGCCATAACCTCTCTTCTGTACTCTCTAAGCTATTTTGCTCTAATCATGACAGATATGCACCATATAACTTTCATTAATCTCCTGGTGTTATAAGGCATTTTTCATTTGCAAGTTTTACTCTGATAATAAACATTTGGTAATAATTAAGATAACTGTTATCTATTGGCTTTTTATGAATTATTATCCCCAGTCATCATTTCAATACCATCCTCACCAAAATAAGGGAAAATACACAACTATGGGAATATGGCCAAGTGAACAGTTGATGATGTGTGTGGGGAACCACAGCAGGTAGAAGAAGACAGGATTAGAGAAATGGTTTAGAATGTAATATTTCTAGATACTGTTAGAGATTAAAGGGAGGGAAACCAAGGCAGCGTTTATATCTCTAGGACTTTTTCAACACTGGATAAATGAGAGAATAGAGCGTTTTTTTCTCTCACCCAAAACTTTACATCAAACTTCTGAAGCAGAAGCACACAACAACAGTACCTGTCTTGAGTTTTGGGGATTCTCACTTCTGCTGTAACTGTAGTTGTACATGCGACTTTCTTCTCTTCTTCCCTATATCACTGGTATAGGGTGGATGCTGTGTGGTCTAAGAGATATACATGGCTGAGGCCTTCCCTTAGATCCCCACACTCTGCAGGCTCTCTCAGTGGGTGGAAGGCACTGAGATGTGAAGTAGGGCATGAGGGGCCCACAATCACCCTGCTCCTCTCTGTTCCCCCACTGCTCAGCAGAGGACTCCTGTAGGGCAGAAGCAGTCAGTGGGGGATGAAGCAGATCACTATGTGTGCTGCCTCATATTCAACAGATATGTGAAATGATAAAAGGGAAGGAGCTCTTGACTTTCTGTTATGGACAGATTGCATTAAAAAATTTTTGTTCATTAGATGTGACCAACACGGGGACTCACACGACCTTCCCCTTCTCCAGAAATTATGACTTTCCACATTCCCCAGGCTTTTTCACTTCATTTCAGTGGCCTTCCATCAAGATAGCAAAGGACAAATCAAATGGGTCTTGTGTGGGTCCCAGTGGAAACACCCTTGCTACAAAACGAGAGTTATCAAATATTTACATCTGTAGGGTTTTTTTTTCAAATTTCCCTTATTTCCAAATAAGACAGGCAGGGTTAATGAGTCTCTCTCTAGGAAGAAAGAACTCAGAGGAGGAAAATAGAGAATCTGTTCTGGTGCCTTGCTTTCATCATCCAGAGTGAACAGGAGGGTTCATGTACCTAGGAGAACATTCAGGAAGTGCCTGAATGATTCCCATCGCAGGGAAAAGAGTGGGGAAATGGGAGGAGGCTGTGAAGACGAAGAGAGGTCTCAGGGTCTGGTAGGAGGGGACAGAACTGTGCGGTGTCTCTAAACTGAGACTTTTGAGTCTAGGACATCAATATGTGTGAGCATCAGGCTCTTATAAGGGCAGTTTCTGAAGTCCAGCCAGACTCTGTCAGCAGAAGCTTCAGAAGTTCCTGTGGGTGGTGCTGTAATGGTTGACCGCCACGTTAGGCACTGGGTGAGCATCTCTCATTCAGCAGCCTGCAGCCCATAACCTGAAACACCAACTCACTGTGCCATCCACTTCCTTGGTCCACCATGTGTCTTACCTTGAGAGCACAAGACTCCTTTTCATGACCACTAGAGGGTTGGTGTTACTGAGAAAGGGAAGCCCCTCTTTTCCCCTCATCCCAGCCTCTCAGGGATGGTGGTTGAAGGCATTTTCCTGTCTTCTTACCGCTGGATTAGTGGTAAAACATTTCCTAACCTGTCTTCTCTCCCAAATCAGTGTCTAGTAGATACAAATTGGTTCTCTGCACTGGGGCACTTTTGAAAAGTGTGTTGTGAATGGTACAGTTTCCTGGATACCTGACACTTGAGCAGAGACAAAAAAATGTGCATATATGTTGGAAGAGTGCCCCCAGTAAAGGGAACAGCAAATGTAAGTTTGTGAAAATGGGAGGTACTTGCCATGTCCACTGAGTAGGTAGTAAGCCCCGGTGGTAGAGTAGTGACCAATGGGAGAGTGGTAGGATATGAAGGCTTAGGAGTAATCAGGTAACAGGAATGTAGGATGATGTTGGGCATGGTCTTTTCTTCAGAATTTATTCTAAGTATGATAGAAACATTGAAGGTGTTAGGCGTGACTTAATTTAGGCTTGGCAAATCGATTACAGTGGAGGCTGAAAGGATAGGTCTAAAGCACCTGAAGGTGATTATTCATTCCTTCTTGTTAGAGATGATGGTGGCTTGGACAACAGTGAGAGAGACAGAGAGTGTGAGAAGAAACTGGGTTCAGGATGTATTTTGAAGATAGACGTGCCAGGTTTGCTGACTAACTAGATGAGGATGTTAGAGGGAAACTGTAAGAATCACCTGACGATCCCTTCTGAGCAACTAAGTAAGGGGGGGTGCCATTCAAAGAGATGGGGAAGTCTCTGGGAGAGTAGACCTGGGGGTAGGGGTGGGGCTGGGGAATTAAGAGTCAAGATCTAAGAAAAGGACTGTTCGACTTGAGGTGTCTGTTGGAGCTCTGAGTGGAGGTGCCATGTGGACAGGTGGAGGTTTGAGTCTGAGGGTCAGCGGAGATCATGGTTGTGCTGCTTTCTATCTGTCTAACCTTTGGCAAATCACTGAGAAGCACTTCCCTTTACCCTCAAAATGGGGATCAACTTACCCACTCAAGGACCTTTTGGGGAATCCAAGTCCTGGGATAATTTAATATTTACATGAAAGGAGTATGGTGCAGTGAAAATGCTCCATGGTGTGGAGAATTTATTAGGAGGTAAGCCACAGGTAAATTAACTTGGGAGAGAAAAATTTATCATTATAAACCTGTCTCCAGGGAACAAATGAGGAGGGGACTGCAGGCAAACTGGTGAGGTAATCACCATACTTCCCCCTGAATCTGGGGCTCCATTAGGTTCCCTCGACTTCTCCCTTTTATTGACTACTTTTTTTTCCTGTCAATGAGTTAATTTGTTCATTTTTTCCCATATTGGTATTCACTTGTTGCAGCAACATTTGTTGAAAAGGCATTCGTTTTTCCATTGAATGTTGTCTTAGCAACTTGTTAAAAAATTATGTGATTATTTTTGGGTTAACTTCTGTCCTCACTATTCTATTCCATTGTTCTGTAGGTCTATCCTTTCTTCAATGCCTCAGTGTCCTCATTATGGACATTTTCTAGCAAGTTTGGAATAAGATAAGTTTACAGTGTGAGTCTTCAAACTTTATTCTTCTTTTTCAAATTGTTTAGTCTATTCTGTTCCTTTTGTCTTTCCTGTATAAATGTAGAATTAGCTTGTCAATATCTATGAAAAAAGCTTGCTGGGATTTTGCTCGGGATATTTTTCAATTTATAGATCAAGCTGAGGAAAACTGACACCAGCACACTATTGAGGCCGTCAATCCATGAACACAATATGTCTCTACGTGTATTTGAATCTTCCTTTATTTCTTTCATCTGTGTTGTGTAGTTTTCAGTGTATATCTCCTGCATATATTTTGTTGTTTATATCTAAGTATTTTATTTATTTAGTGCTATTATAAATGATATTTTTTAAAAAAACAAATTTCAATTGTTCTTTGCTGGAATATAGGAGTACTTTTGTATTCTGATCTTGTATTTTGCGACATCTCCACTCATTTATTAGTTCTAGGAGTTTTTTGTGCATTTGTTGGGATTTTTTAATGCAGAATATTACACCCTGTGAACAGAGACATTCCTATTTTTTACTTTTCAACAAGTATATCTTTATTTTTCTTGTCTTGTTGCACTAGCTAGGACTTCAATATTATGTATCATAGAGTGGTGAGAGAGGGTATTTTTGTCTCGTTCCTTACCTTAGGGAAAAGCATTCAGTCTTTCATTATTAAGAATGATGCTAGCTGTGGTGGGGGGGGTTGTTTTTTTAATATAACTTGTTTTTATTAGGCTAAGAAAATTCTCTTCTTAGTTTCTGTAAGTTTTTATCATGAATAAATGGTAAATACTATTGAAAGATTTTTATGCACCTATTGAGATGATCATATGGTTTTCTTATTTATTATGCTAATCTAGTGAAATTATGATTGATTTTTCCATTGTTCAAACAGGTTTGCTTTCCTGAAGTGAATCTCACTTGGTTGTGATGTATTATTCTTTCCATATACTGCTGTAATTGTTTATGTAACCTTGTATTCATTATTTTTGCAGATATATGCATAGATAGATAGATAGATAGATAGATAGATAGATAGATAGATAAATTACTTCTTGATGGTTTTCTGTTGTAATTGTGTTACTCTTCTTTGTCAGGCTTTGGTATTGGAGTGCACTGGCCTCATGAAATGAATTGGAAAGTCTGCCTTACTTTTCTGGAAGAGCTTTGTAAAATTAGAAGGATTTCTTCCTTACATGTTTGGTAGGATTCACCAGTGAAGCAATCTGGGCCTGGCATTTTGTTTCTATTCTATGGTGAATTTTAATAATTTCAATTTCTTTAATAGATGCAGAATTCTTACATCCTCTATTTTTCTTGTGAGTTTTGGTAGTTTATGTCTCTCAAGAAATTAGTCCATTTCACCTAAGTTATTGAATTTATGAGGGTACAGTTCTTAGTATTCTCTTATCACCCTTTTAATGTCCATGGGATCAGTACTGATGTCCCTTGTTTCATTCATTATTGGTAATTTTTGTCTTCTATCTTTGTTTTTGGCTAGTGTGAATAGAGGTTTATCAATTTTGTTCATCTTTCCGGAAGAAACAAGTAAAAGAGTTGAAAATGGTTGTGTCTGGGTGTTGAAATCTATTGTGAGGCAGGGAATATTCTATCTGGTCATAAGTCTTTTATTTTTTTTTAATTTTTACTTATTTATTATTTTTTTTTTTTGCGGTACGCGGGCCTCTCACTGTTGTGGCCTCTCCCACTGCGGAGCACAGGCTCCGGACGCGCAGGCTCAGCGGCCATGGCTCACAGGCCCAGCCACTCCGCGGCATGTGGGATCTTCCCGGACCGGGGCATGAACCCGCGTCCCCTGCATCTGCAGGCGGACTCTCTACCACTGCGCCACCAGGGAAGTCCCTGGTCATAAGTCTTTTAGAACCTTTTGACTTTTAAAGTTACTCTTCTCTCTCTTATTCTTATATCCTTAGGTGTACAATGTAT